AAGAATAAATTTAAATTAAAATGGTATTCAATTCAGTTCAATGTTTTGGGCCACGGAGCAGTTTAACCATCACATTTGAGCTCTGTCAGACTGGTTGTTGTAATGAAAATAACAACTTCAATTTTACGTTGGTGTCATCAAGTGTTTCAGCCTATTAATCACATAACGTTGAGAGAGGCTAAAAGTAAATCTGACTGGCTACTGGCTTGTATGGCAGTGCAATGAAAGCCATGTGTCCTGCTCTGTAGATCAGACGGCATCAGTCCTCTGTGCCTTTTTTATTCTATTTATTTGATGAACATGATGAACATGAGACACAGTAATTAGATCTGTGCTTTTTCATTACACAAATAACACAAATAAATTATTTGTGTTCGTATGCAATAGTGTTAGTTTTTTCTCGTTCTAGTTCACGCTCTGAGCTACAACACCTGCTGGGGCTGGTGGTCTCCTCTGCTGCCCCTCCTACAAGACAAACACACTAACACTTATATACACACATGCAACAAAGATGTTGCACATTCTCATATTTAGTCTGCATATTTATTGATTGGTCAACAAAGTGAACAGAGAGAAATTGAATTCTGATGCACTGTTTATATTTGTCTAACGCGAATGGCACCCAGTGGAGAACAACACATCTGCCAATACACAACAGGCCCCTTAAATTCAACCAAGCTGAACCAAATTTACTACATTCATACAAATCAGTCCCCTAAATATGTTGGATCTTGGTAGAGAAGGTAAAAAAAAAAGTCCTGGATCCCCCTTTGTCCAGATGTACTGGAACTTTCTTCACCAAGGCCCATTCTTCTAAGTTTCATGGAAATCTGTCTTTTTGTTTTCTACGTATTCCTGCTGCCAACCATCAACCATCAAACAAACAACTTTCCAGCACTAAATAGATCAAGAAATGTCAACAATTTTACTGACATATTAGGGGGATGTCAAAACTATGGCAAAGCACTGTGTAATTTCAAGACCAATATACAGACAATAAAGCCTTTTTACAGAGCCTGCATTTAAGTGGATATTTCCCTGATGAATCTCGACTGAAAAGACAGGGGTGAAAACATAACCTCTGAACCTTATAGAAATATAAAACAACCTTACTTTGGTTAAAGACTTGTCTCCCCTCCCCCTCCCTCAGAGAGTTTTTCCCCGTTGAGTTCAGTGTCTGGTCGTCTCAGTCTGATCCGTCTCCAGTGTTCATCCCTCAGGCCGATCAGATGTTGTTCACCGGGAAACAGCTCTGAGCTGCAGTCGTCCGTCCTCTGCAGAGAGGACATGATATTTTTGTTATGACAGAGCAGAGACGCCAACGAGCATGTTAATGATACAAGATCAATGTGCAAGCATGAATACGAAACTTAGAAAGAAAGAAATACACTCAATCAAACAAACATAACCAATAAAAATATTATTCTTATCTATAGAGAAGCGTTTCTGAAGAGAAATTAGAGTAATAATTGTGTATTCTATCAACTAAAAATGAAAAATTAAATGTATGTAGTGTGTGCATCTATTTATCCATACTCCTGGGTAGACAGAAATGGATCAGGTTACATTTGCAGGCAGATTTTTGAGACTTTTAGTTTAAGTGCTGGTGGAAAACTGGGACATCTGGGCTTTCATGTGTAATTTCAAAGTAGGAATGATGTTTTTTCTACGTAGACAGAACAACTCGTTACCATTTGTACAGAGCACTTAACACCTCTGTACGGTTGCCTATGAATAAAAATAGAATTTGTGAGTGGATTTGAAAAGGGATTTGTCGGTAACCAAAAGTTTGCACAAATCATTGAATATATTATTTTGATTTTCACATAACACACATCTGGGACCATTCTGAGTCATGTTTTTTGGATACTTTGTTAAAAATGTCACATTTTGCTTTGTAGTTCTGCCTCACGTTTGGTCTTTTGTGGTAATTCGTGCATCAGGACTGGAAAGTTTAGGCCTCACAACAACAAAAAGACACAGAACTCACATTATTCCCTCATCAAAATATCACAGCATCAGGTCAGAGGAAATAATAATTAAACATCCAGTCTGCAGGTCTGTTAAGCTTTTTCCCTCTTTGCCATCACAGTAACATGATTTTCTATGAGTGATAACCCACTTAGACAACCAATCTCTATTTGCACCTACTGATATTCTGTTCATCAGTTAAACCTGTGTGGTGTCTGCAGTACTTTCGTGCAACTGAATGTCCCTCGCATGTTTCTGGAGCATGATCCAACTCTCAGTCACCTTGTAGCATCCCTGCTTGCAGATAAGAGATTTTCTTTGTGCATTAAATCTGTTCAATTTTGCTTCTCTTCTCTCGTGATTTCAGCCCATGAAGGCACCGGCATGGCTTCAGTTCCTGCGTCAGCGTGCACGAAGCCCCGTTGCCTTTCTCTCTGAAAAAACTATAACTCCTGCTGGGACCAAAATGGGACAAAAATCTAAGCCAATCATACTTCAAAAAGTAATTATGACTTGCCAAACAGTATCAGAGTTAGACACACATTTAATTCATGATTACAGTAAACTACTTCACAGAATAGAAAAGCAGCAGGGGTCATAGCTCGAAGAACATCTGCATTAAAGAAGAGGAAATTGGAAAAACAATGTCAGATCAATTTGAAATAATTAAAACACTTTTATTGTGCATCCATTGTTAAGTATAAAGTTT